AAAAATCATCGGGGCTGGCGAAACCCCTCAATCGGCTCGCTCCTGGCCGTCTCCCCAGTGCGAGCCGGCCGGGTGCTACGGCTGGCGCATGCCGACCGACCCCACGAAGTCAACCTTCATCAATAAACAGGCATGGCTACAGTGCGCCCGCCTTTACGCCGGCCCCGGCAGCAGCGCCCCCTGCCCCCGCCCGGGGCGGGCGGTATTCCGGGGGCGTAACCCTACAGCAGCGGGGCGTTGATCGTCCCGTGACGCCCAGCGAGGCGCCACAGTACCCAGCTGCCGACCGTACCCGTGCCCGGTGGCCCCGATACGGCCCGCACCCGACGGACCCGGCGAGACCCGCACCCGATGGATCCGGCAGACCCGACGTCCCCCACTGCCGGCTCCTAGACGCTGACACCTGGGCCTCGCACCCATGTATCTTTACCATTGTAACCCCGGGGGGCCAGCCTATAAGACCCCCCCGGTGCCCCTCCATGCAGAGGGGTTGAGCTCAGTCGATCCTTAGCGCGCGTGCGCGCACACACACACACATGGAGGAGGCAGCGCATGAACTGGCCTGTCTTCCTTCCTCCCCAGAATAGTTCTAAGAGCAAACCTGGATCCACTTCATATAAACCACATTCGACAAGACTAGAGGTGTTATCTCTTCGGAAAACCCGAACTTGCGTACGTCTCGTGTCCCACATCCGCGCGTACCAACCTCGCCTCTACAGCCCACCGGTGCCCTTGTGTATGTTCCCCTCTTTAGCCATCCTATGGCATCTGCCATGAGATCACCACAACAAACTTGGGAATTTATTTTAGCAAGAGAGCTTGGTTTTGGATTTTAAGATTCATCACCCCTAGTCCACCTTTCTTTTAGGTCTACACACTAGGTGCCACGCTGCCAGAGAGTTAGTTCTGGCATCTCCGTCTTGCACTTTCCTCCAGAGGCAGTTTCTTCTTGCTCTATCAAAAAGCTCAATGATTTTATCCGGGAGCTTCAACACACACATGGCAAAGGAGAGCAGCGATGAAAGCGCAGAGTTTATGTATTCAATCCTGCTACCATAAGACATCCAAAGAGTAGTGCCAGATAATTTTCGTTCAATGTTGTCAACCAGAGGCATCAGTTCATGCACTGCTGGTGTTGTGGTTCCGAGGGGCAGTACGAGATACGTGAAGGGCATGGATCCTACCTGGCAACCAAAACAAGCTGCAAGTTCAAAGATTTTCTGATTTGAGAGGTTAGTGGGCATCATTTGTGATTTGGTATAGTTGATTTTTAGTCCTGTTGCTCGAGCATATGCGTTTAGAATGTCCTTGATCGTGTTCATTGTACCATGGTCTGCTGGAAGAATTATTATAGTATCGTTCACGTACTGAACCATCGGATAGACTTCGGATTCAGTTTGGGCAATAGGTAGTTGAAGCAAGTTTTTGCGCCAAGCTTTATTTACCATGGACTGCAGCAGATCCGCAGCAAGAACGAATAGTAGAGGCGAAAGTGGGTCGCCCTAGCGCACCCCACATTTACATTTAAATTCCTTCCCTGGCACCCCGTTGAGCAGTACTGCTGATGATCCATAGTTTAGAATTGTTATGATACACATTATCCATCTTTTGTCAAAAACCTTTGATAAAAGCATATCCATTACAAAGGCATGATCCATTGTTGAACGCCTTTTCGAAATCCAGTTTTAAGATAACTATCTCCTTGCCAGAATTCTTGCACGCATGTATGTATTCAAAAGCCCACCCGAGGCAGTCTTGGATTGTACATGTCTTGATGAAACCGTATTGATTGCGATGAACCAATTGGAGAATCCATTTTTGAAGTCTCTCCACCAGAATTTTTGTGAAGACCTGGTACAGAGTTGAGTAATGATTTTTTTTAGCCGAAGTTGGGTAATGATATGGGCCGATAGTCATTCACTCTTTCAGGTGTCAGTTTCTTCGGGATCAAAGTAATGAGCGAGTTGTTGAGATATTTGATGCTGATTTTGCCCTCCAAAAGTCATGACAGAGTTTGAAGAAGTCAGGCTTGATTA